TTAAGTTGAATATGCTCTTTTCTTAATAAGTTTTGTTTTATATTTAATGTTGAATATATATCATACAATTTAAAATGTATGCCTGCTTAATATTTTTTATAAATAATTACATCATAATTGCAAAAGATGTTATGTATCGTATATTATACGATGCATAACAATTACAGAACAATTGTTTGCTAGTTGCTTTCACATTTCGCTACAGTTTGTAAAATTCCTCGAAAAAACAAAGTTTGTTTCTTGTTTTTAGTAGAATAATATGTATCGTACCTATTTGTTTTGTATAAGTATCTACTTGATATTCTAATATTCTACCTGATATTCTTCTATTTTATTGCGAAGTACTTTGCTTAAAACTCTTTTGGTTTTTGCTAAATGATTTATGTTGTGAAGAATTTCGAATGGGTAATCTGAAATATTTAATAAGTATTATGCCATTACTGCAGTAATAGAGAAACTTTTATTATACGCTTTTTTAAATTAAAATTAAAAATACGGGTATCCTTCAAGGAAAGATAGAGAAAATTGTTTAAAAAAAGAAAAAAATATACAGGGGGGGAAGGGAAAAAAACTGAGAGGTTTCAGATTTTAAATTACGTCCAAAGAGGCGTATTTTTAACGTTTTGTGTGTTACCTTTATTTATTAAATATAATGATCTTTGCACTTAAACCATAAAATTCAGTTCAATAGCAATGTCGCAAAATAATTTTAAAATGAACTTATCTTTAGAATTTCCGATACACAGTCCCGCGCGTTGGAGATAAAAAGGTTTTGTTTCTTCCCCGTAGGGTGTTGCCATTGCTCGCTTTGAAATCCTTCAGCTTGTTACTCAAAAATTCGTTAAAATTTTACAAAATATGAAATCGATAATAAAACAAATTTCAAATTGGTCTCCTACATGCCCATATTCGTAGGAGGATTACGTCATTCAAAATTCGATGGCTCTATGTACCGTTGTTTTATCACAATGCGAGAAATATGCATACATTTATGCAGAATTTTCAGTATTTAATTTCTTCAAATATAATGCAGGACTCTCACATTTGGTGGCAACAGTTTGAAAAGTGAAACTGACATTTATAGTGATTCAACGCAAAATCGCAAAACGAAAACAATAATCCTTCAGGAACAAAGCCCCTTTGGACTAATTATTATCGTGATTTTAAATTAAATAGTGATCCATGCATATTATTTCAAGAAAATTATATGCATGACTCGTATTTAGTTTTAAAATTAAAAAGGCTTAAATTTAAAAAAATGGCAATAACTTGATTGTTTTTAAATTTTGTATTAACATAAGGTAATTTCAGTTGTTTTATTAAAAAATATTCGACTGCTTCAGAATTTCACTATTCTTTTCAATATTACATTTTTCTCATTTGAAACTGGAAACGAACAATCATTACAAATAAAACACTGAATAGCTTTCTGAAACGAGCTATGATTCGTGGCGGTTGTACTATGTATAATATTAAAATTATAGATTCGATTCTTAAGGAGCAATTTGTAACCTGGAATCTGTTCCTCAGTCAGTTTAATTAGCTATCAACTTTGAGTCTGAATTAAACATCTTGCCAAAAGTCCAACAGCATTTGCTTGCTGTGTGTTCTTGTTCGGAATGCATTCTAATATTCTATTCATGTAACAATGATCTTGAATGACTCGCGAGAACTTGCTTCTATCCAGATTTCGATTACAATGCTCAATCAAGTGCTTCGAATAATGTATGCATTTGATTTCAGTGATAGACTACAGAATCGGTATAGAGTGTGAATCTGCATGAAATGCTACTGAATGCTGTCCTTTAGTGAAGTGAGGATGTTTATTTGAGCAATACGTATATTAGATATGGTATCTAAAGCAAATCTGAATCATATCCTTAGTCGTATAAGTTTCGAAAAATTTGATCCTTCAATTAAAAGTCGTATTTTGCCATGCCCACAGTTTATACATGTCACCTTAATCAATCCTATTATTAGTTATTCTCTAATAATGCACTTGGTTACTAACGACAAATTCTAAAAAATTAATTCTAAATAACTAATTCTTAAAAAAGTAGTATCTTTATTGATAAAGGCAATGAATACTGGAGCATGTAGCAAATTCGCACAGTACGAGACATTTAATTTATCTTCCAAGTTATAATAGAACATTAGTTATACATTTAACTAATGCCAGATGTCATGAAAGATACAGTCTCTAAAATAAAATAATACCAGCCGAAAAGGAATTATTACTAGACAGTTCAGGCAATAAGAATTAGCGGTAATTGCAATACCAAAATTCTAAAAGTATAAATTTTAATTTTGAGCATTTTATATACTTTTTTTCCTCTAGAAGATAAAGGTTTAGGCTTTTAGATGTCATTTTTACATCCTTGTGCGAAGTAAAAGGGAATATTGTAATCACGAAAAATTCCGTGTGTCATATTTCATTGAAAATATCCATTTTGACCGCTGTCGAATGCAATTTAACGATGTTTTGCGTGTCATCTGTACGTAAGGACAGAATATAGCCCTCTTTTTCTCCCATTATAAAACTGATTTAAAATGGATTCAGAAGAGACTTTTTTCGTAGCTTCTTTACGTACGTAAGTATGCATCTCGCATAATTCAAAAACGAGTAGTTTCAGAACGTTGAAATTTTGTATATAGGACTGCTATAACCCATTTGCACACCCATTTTTATGGCAATCGGAAACACCAAAAGTATATAAATAAATATATATATATATATACCCACTTTGTTACTCGGCTCCATGAGCTCTTTTTTTGTTTGTTTAAAAAATGATTGACTTATGTTGTTCTTACCTTCCACTTAAGGCTTTTATGCCTTTAGTTAACCTGCATGTTATAGTTGTAGAATTATCAACAATTTAAAAGTTGGTTAAGTGCGGCTAAGCCTAATTTTTTTAACCATAGCAGCCATATTTTGTTTACATTTGAAACTTAGCAGAATAGTGGATTTGTTGCCAATCTAGAGAAACTAAGCTTCGGAATAGCAAAGTAACGCCTTCTTTTATTATTGCGAATTAAATCATGCTTAATCCATTCTGCAATTGTCATTTAAGTTATTAAATTATCCCATATATTGACTTTCAGAACAAATTAAGTCATCGCATCCAGAACAAATTAAGTCAGTTTTGCGGAGTGAGACCAAAGGGAACTTACTAGTTTTCTGCTCTGAAAAATCTGCTGTCATGACCGCTGGCCGAATTGCTTGTTTTTGCGTGGAAACTGTAATTTTAATTGTAATTTTTTTTTCCATTGCTTTAACTGTATTTGGTGTTTTATATTTTTCTATATCTTTAAATTTTTATTATAGATATTTTGAAGTTTTTATGTATATTTTTTGCTTTCCCGCTGAGTAAGAACTGAATTAATTGAATGAGAAATAGTATATGTCTAACGAAATTCGAGAAACTAAGTTTAAACTAAATGCAGGAAAAAATACGTATAATTTAACATTCCGTATAAGGAAGTCATATGGTGTACACATCAGATTTTTTGTTAAAGGAGAAGAGACGTCGTTAAATATTTCCTTTTGTTTTTATTTTAGCAATTCTTGTATTGTAAAATAAGGGAATCTTAATAAACTCTGTTTAGTTTATGCGTGGTATGTACAAGTAAGTATTTATCACTCTAAAAAAGGTAAAATAAAAAATAATATTTATTCTCTGGATTCTAGCCTTTTACATTCCTTTTACATTCCACATTAAAATACAATGTAGGTTTTAAGCTGGAATCTGATAGATTGAACTCTTGATTTTTAATTCATTTATTCTCGAACTCTTGATTTTTAATTCGTTTATTCTCGAACTGTATTAACTGGTCCTTACCTTATTTTTACTAAGACGTTTTAAATGTAATTCATTTTAAAGTTTTATTATTTAGCCTTTAGATTTAAAAATAATAAAGTCCAGTATCGAGTATAGGATCTGTGAGTAGAGGTCAAGTCTAGGATATCTGAAACTGCAGCTCAGTGTGTTTTCATTGTTTTAATGATGTGGTTGATCATTACTCTTCCTTTATTTCTATGTGCATATTAGGCATGTAGTCTTTTAGATACAGGTTTTCTAATACTCATCAGAGAAAGACATTTTATTTTCTCCTGTCATCCTTACATTCACTTATCCCTACGGATTCTCGGATAATGGCAATAAATCTATTTATTCGGTTTACTTTTACTCAAATATTTATCCTTTAGTATTCTGCTCCTAGTTATTTTATTATCATTAAATGTTTCGTGGACGAATTTCCCACAGTCTTATTTAGTTTAGCGCCTTCCGTTTTCTTATTCTATGCTAATAAATTATTTTATCCCATTTGCTTCACTCCGCACATTTGTTATTATCTGCGCAATTCTTTCATATTCAGTACTTAGAATTTACCCTTATATCCTCTTATCTAGTTGCAGCAAATCCCTCGGATCTTTTCTCACATTTACGTTTATAACGGAGTTCTTTATGGATAATAGTTCTGATTCAATAAAGCATTCCTCTATCTGATTACGCATCAATACATTTAGCCCATATAAAAAGTGCACACAATCAGATTTTAATGGTTAATTTTAAACAAATGTTGAGTGTAATCAAAAGCAAATATTAATTTTTGCCTGTTCAGTGTGTGTGTGGGGGGGGACTATGTTTTGTATATTGATATATACGAGTATGTAAAGTTGGCAAGCTTTTACTGAAAATACTCTAGGTTGTTTTACTTGTTTATAGATTATTTTGTTTTTCGCTTTTAGATACTTTTTCGAGTTCATGCATACAGTTTTATATTGAAATGAAAAACACATTAAAACCCTAAACTCAAAATGTTGACCATCTTTGAAACATATAGACATTTTTTCTAATAAAAATAAATAAAGCTGAAAATCGTTTCTGCAGATATACATCTTATTTAGGAATTATAAAAAACCTGGAGACTTGATATGTGAGATATTATTATTGTGTTAATAGTAACACAGGGTGAGTAAAAATTGTGTGAACACTATCTAAGGGAAAGCATTTATTCACAGTTTTCGTTAAACAGAGTCTCAACCTGACCACCAGCCCGAGTAATGCACTCAAACCAACGTTCAACAGTACAATTTACTGCCAGAACACACATTTCTGAGGAAAAATGTTGGATATCAAACGTTTTATTTTGTCCTTTAGTTTGTCCAGACTTCAATGTCTCGTTAATTTTGATGGTCTCCGTAGTATGGCGTCCTGCATTAAAGCAATATTTACCTCACTTCTGGCAGTTCTAGGTAGCCTCGCATTTCCGTGATAACTACTGATCTAGTTTGCTGCAATCTTCAGGTAAATGCAATAAATTGTTGAACGAGTTGGTGGCTGTCTCTCTGGAAATTGTTCTGCAAACCTTCGACGCACTTCTGTGGCTGACTGCAAACTTTCATTAAGCTTGCAACCACTCTGCTGTGCTCCTATGTGAGTCTGTCAGCCATAGATATTAACGACCTAAAAAGAAAATGAAAAAAAATTAAGATTTTTCGCATAATTTTGACTCACCCTGTAGTATTTTACCAATAACCTACAGGCTTAATGAGTGTAAATACTATTATTACTAATTGTAGTGTAATACCGGGTATTTTCCGGTTAAGCAATCGCTGGAAATTATGGCATAATCTATTCATTTACTGATAGTTTTTTTCTTCTTCCCAAGGTGACAGATAGTATGTCACCAGAAAGAAAGGAGCTAATAAAATACATTCAAGCCTTATACGGACGACGAATTTACGCGAAACTTCTGGTTAACAGTCAGCCTTTGCTCACTATTACATCATTTAAAGCCACTTAAGCAAGATTAAAATGTGTATTATATAGTTTGAAGGAAGAGAATAAGAAAATTTAGGCTGAGTACTCTACACTTATAATTAATAAATAGAAACAAAATATAAGCAGCACACTGAAAAAGGTTTTTTGATTGAGTGGTTATTATATAATAAAAGTTTTGCTATATTTAAAAAAATAATGTTTCTAATTACTTTGTCTATGCTGAACATAGTGGAACTTAATGAACTATGTAGCGACTTATCGCTGAGTCCAAGTGTGTAAACGACAAAGTCCAAACAAGGGTCCCTTTTATTTACTCAAAGAAAGAATGATAGGCAGCCCCTTATCAGGCTTATAGGAAAGCCTCCACTTGGGCCTTAAACTCAACTAATCTAATGCTAAACTAAGCCGAAACTAGACACAATTACCTAACGTACTTGGCCCTTGACTAAATTAACTGGCGAATATCAGTAGGCACGTACAATACGGCCAAGCGTAGTGAGCTTAACAGCGAAGTAACCTAATGTCAAACACGCCGCCACTAAGGACTCTTAAGCCCCACTAAGGAATTCTGCTGAAGTTAGAGAAACACCCATCTTACCTCATTTACATGCAAAGCGGTACTAAAAACTCATTCTGTTAAGGAGTTAATTGTAAGTTGGAATTGTAAGGGGGAAATAAGAATTTAAAGGAAAGTGCTTCAAAATTAGAAACAACTGTTAGAAAATTAAAATAGTCCTTAAAATGTGCCCATTTTTTTATTTATTTATAGTCTTTATATTATTACGTGTAATAATTTAAATATAATAATAATAATTTTAAGATGAAAGGATTTTTTTATATTTCACCGTGAGTGCTTTTCGTGACGTGTCCAGCTAGTATTTGGAAGGTCTGTGGTTCCAATCTCGCAGAGGATATAGTTTATTTTTAATGTCTCCTGATTTGAAAACCCTAATAAATTCTACAAAGTTAAAGATTTACGATAAATTAACTAATTTATAAATTAGGTTCCCAGAAACTAAAAATACAGAATACAAAATCTTATATTGAAACGGAGCTGCGAAACCAAATAGTAGGAGAGAAAAAGATGCTATAATGTTATTTCTCGCAAACGTACGCCATATAGAGATTTGCATTTAATTAATAAAAGAAAGACTTAATTATTCAAGACTCACTTGTGCATCTCGCCAGAGCACGAGGTTGAATATTTCCCTCATGTAGCAATCCATTCTGTTTTTCTACGAAGCAAAATTCTGAACCAAAAAAAAAAAAAAAAAAAAACTATTTCAAAGAAATTTTCCTTTAACGTCTTTATAAAAGAAACAAAAAATCTCTTAGCTGCTACTGTCGAATAATTATTAAGGCTTCAAAGCTGTAATAATCAATCGATAGTAACGACAAAATTGCAGAATCGTTCATTAAGACTCAAAGCATTTTTCTTGCGTACTAGCTCTGAACTGAATAACCTCGGCTTTCGCTATTTAATCTTTTATAGTAGGTCTTGCGAAGAAGGGTAAGAAGAAAAATTCATATTCGCAATTTTCTCTTACATTTCTCCGAAATGGTCTTATATCATTCAAGCTAAAATTTCTATATCCTCCAAACACTCACCAGATTTCGCGATTTTCCTCCGAATAACACCAGTCAAAAGATTTCTACGATTCTGTACACAGAAGTAAAGGAATACAAAATTCACAAGAAAATTTAAATAAATCATCTCTCTCTGTATATATATATATATATATATATATATATATATATAATACTTTTTAAACAAGTGAGAGGATTGCCCATGGGCTTACATTCCAGCTCCTCGATCTGTAATATCTTTTTATTTATCAAAGAATTTAACTTCCAAAAAAATCTACAACCACAAGAGTTAAATTACTACAAACACACTTACAGATATATTGATGACCTTATTACAATTAATAATTTTGGTAAAATTGAACACTCCGAGATTTATCCAAATTGTCTTACACTTAATAAAACTAATAATTCACAAAATAACATAGACTTTCTAGATCTTCAAATCATTAACTACAAAAAAATTTTATTTTTCGACAAAACAAGAAACTTCAATTTCAATACTAACAAATTAATAAATTGGAACTCCAACATATCCAAAAAGTAATTAACAATACAATAATTAATCAAATACAACGAATTAAAATTATATGCACAGATACAATAGATTTACAACGCGAAATTTTGCTCCTTATTAAAATTCTCAAAAATAATTTAATACCCATTCAATATATTAACCATTGCCTTAAAAGAGCAGGCGTTAAATATTTACTCTAAATCATTTAACTGATAGGGATATGATAATTTGTTCCTAAACCTGAGAAGGCGGTATAAGTTGGATGACTATAGTTGAAGGATTTGTATATAGTGTAATTACTTTGTTGTATATATTGTAAAAAGCTAATTGTCTTCAGACTTATGCTGTTACTATGCTGTTACTAAAAAAATGGGCCTATTTCATGACTTTAGTCTGTCTAATAGCTCTTGGACAGTGAAAATTCACTTTTTCCTTTCTTAAATTCTTAATCATAGCGACATGACAATAAGCCAGAAATTAATTAATTTCCATTCACTAGTATTTTCAAGAAAATCTTAACAGACAGTTTCACTCAAATAAGAACTCCACATAATACATCCCTCAAGAAATCCGAGTCCCACCCACTACCATAAATTACTTCAGCCAAGTCTTACCGACTGATATTATTCAAAGCCCCCACTGCCGCTAAGAATTTTCGGACACCCTACACTTATGAGTCAGACACGAAGAGAACACTTTGCTAACTCCCCACTAGAAAGAATGTAAGTTACTTAATACCTTTTCTGGCCTTTATATCTTCATGTACATTCACTGTTGTTATGATATTTTTTATATATTATTTTTGATTTGTTTTTACAAAGTTTGCATTATTTATCTTACTTTGTAATCTTCTATGTTTATTTCAACTTTACTTCGAATTCGATTTCATAATGACAATTTCCAATGTTTAATTTTTACAAATAATATAGAATTCAAATGCATAAATATGAGGGTGTCGGGGACGGTTACTCGAGTTTTTTCGGATTTCTCTACAGAAATTGCTTTTTACATCAAATCGAATTGGCTAAAATGCTTCATAAGAATAAGTTCTTTGAGTATCAGCATTGGTTCGTAATCCCTTCTATTCGCGGAAATATTTGGCTTGACTAGAATTGCCGGTTTGGCTTTACCTTATAACTCGAGTAAAGACGAAACACCTTCGTATTTACGTATTTTTATTAATTATTGTTCATTGAACGGGAGTTGGTTTGTTCCCCTTGAAAAGTCAACTAATTTCCGATCAATGACAATGATTACATGTTTTTAATTTAATTTTTCCTTTTACAATTGAAATTTTGTTCTTCATGATGATTTAATTCCAGTCCCCGTTAAAACATTATTAACATTTTACTTTCAAGTTACTTCAAAACATCTTTCAAAATATAACTTACCAGTATGGATTCACTCTTTTAAAATAATTCTACTTTAATTAAACTTAGGAGATAATATAAATCAATTAATCAAATATGTTTTAGGAAATAAATTATACTCGTATATATATATATATATATATTCATATGTAACAAAAACAGAAAACAACTTAAAAATGTTGATGGCGTAGCACGTAGATAACGTAGAACATAGATCCATATTCAAGAGGAAGAATTATGATTGCGTAGAATGTTAAAATATTGAATTTGTAGTGACTAAGAAACTTAGCAGTCGAGGCGAATTAAACTCCATTTTTATTCAAATTTAAATATGTGTGTGACACAATTCACTTGGCATTCTAACCGTGCCTGTTTCCAGAAAATTTACAACGATGGTGTAGAAAGAGAGCAAAGAGAAATATCGTCCAAGCGTCACAGAGGGTGAAGCAAAAGTGAACAATTATCCATTATGTAGTCTCACTAAAAGAAGGTTTTGGTTAAATTTATTAAGATAAAGATTTCGGTTCTCGAAATTTTGAGTTCAGGTTCCAATATTAACTACGTCATTAGCGTTACGGAAGTCATGCAAGATGGATTGATCTAGAAATGCTGCAGTCCAGAAAGTTATTACGATTTTTAGATCAGACGGGGGAATTAATATATATACATATGTATTAGTTAGTTCTCTTTTCTTTAATTACATATATATACGTACTTAATTACTGTATGTGTGTGTGTAGAGTCATAATTTCTAGCATTTTTCTTCTTTATTTTTGAAGCCATAAAATGAAACAAAAGCATAAAAACATAACAAAATTAAATATTCTTAGAACATTAGTAAATATAAAATCCAGTACGACTTCAAACAAAAAGCCAATATGATTAAATTAATAAACATAAAATCCAATACAACTTTCTGTTGCCTTTCTTAATTTAAAGAATAGAACTGCTATACGACCTTTATTACCTCATTTTTGAAATCTGAACAGAGTTAAAATAAATACCGAAATATTTCTGGATTATCCTCTTTTTAAAAATCGGTATTAATTATTGCTCCATTTTTTAATGAAATGCATAGTGAAGAAAACACACTTTCAGCTCGTATGTGTAAATATGAACTGAAAAATATGTTTTCAAGCATAACATCTATGGTTTTTCATTAATTTGTTTCTTTGTATATAAATTCATTTGACGCCTTAAAGTTATGAAATTTCGAAAATGAGATGAAATTTAATTAAATTTGTGCTAAGAATGTCAGGTAAAAAAAAACGCTCTTTTCATTTAGAAATTTCCATTATTGCAATTCTATAGGATAGGTAGCCTCTGTAAAGATGTGAATGAAAACAGAAAAGCGTAAAAAGAAGAAAATATTTTCCTAAACGCAAGCGCAGCGTAGGAAATTAAACTTCAATCTTATTTTTAATCAGAAAAATAAAGGTTACTATCAGAAACAAGAGAAAAATGAGTTTTTTATAAATTTCATTTAAAAGGAATGAAGGAATTACATAATCAATATGTGGTTCAGTAACTTATGACAGGTTAGGAAATAATGAGTGTAATGCTCTTCTTGTTTTTATTCCAATTCGGAAAATAAAGGATACTCTGCAAACGGAATAAGTTTTAACAAATAGTGCCCCTTAAAATATGTTTGTGTTCTGACAACCTAGACTGTAATTTAAAAATTCTGAAAATTTTAATAGCATAAACTTCAAATTAATTATTTAAGTAATGTTTTATTATTTTGCTAAAAACTATTCTTTGTATTTTATTATTTCTAAGCTTTATAATTTTATCTTTATCTTTTTTATCTTATTTATTTCGTCCATTCAATCAGATGCTTAAATTATAGAAAATGAAGAAAAGATTTAAAAACTCCGCGAATAAACTTAAAATTTGTTAATGATGATATGATAAATTTGCTAATGGTGATATGATTGGCTATGATAGTATAAACCCTGGGAAAGAATTTCGAATGCTCCAGAGGTCAGCTTACTCGCTAAATGGATTTAAAATCAAGTTATTTGACAATAGCCTAGTGAGCATTAAACTAAGAAAGTCTTCATTTCCTAAATGCTATTGCACATTTGTGTCGAAAATTAAGAAACTAAAACCCGTGTTTTATAATTTCCAAATATAACTGGACAGAATTCAATGAAATTTAGCAAAATACAGAGGAATATTAAGACAGCAATGTATACCATACGATATTGAAGATAGCATTCATAACGCTGACTAATACTCATATCATCATGAATGCTCAAACCTAAAGTTTTAAAATGGTGCCTAAAATGCAACTAATATGTGTATGGTATTTCTAATAGACGCATAAGTTAACGGGATTGTTCATACATTTCTGTGGTAGCCTTCTTTATATAGATCCTGTGCACTTGTGTAGATCTGAATGACAATCATTCGCCGAATACCATTATTGAGGATAGTCATTTATTAGAGCCATAAGAGGACAACAGTTGACCACAAAAAGGAGCTGAGAACCAACCGAGTCCTTGCATAGTCGCACATAAGAATCTACGGTATCCTTCTCTAAACCTCTGAACAGACCGAATGCTTCTTTCAAGCAAAGGAAATGGATGCTGTTATAAGTACAATGGCTATCCAGACCACGACATTTTTGCTGCCATAGTTGTCTCTTTCTCTGACGTTATCGGGTTTCCGTCTCTCTTTAGATGAAGGCACGTAACGAAACAGCGTCAAATCTAGTTTCGTCATTGAAGAGAATGTTAAGGTAACTGAAAGTGGGTCTAAAGTTGATGCTCTCTACAACACACCAGACCTGTTGTCTTGTGTTAGGGAAGAAACAGAACACAAACAGTAGATATTATGGGGAAAAAAGTTTCTCTCTCATGAAAGCTTCCTAGAAAAACACTTGAAACAAAATTTCCGATGGGAATATCGAACAAATGAGAGAAATGTATGCCTGTAATTGTGAAATGGCTAAAGTGCTACATACCGATCTTCATTGGATGTATAGATCCCTAACGCACTAACCAGGCACTATCTCTTCCTGCCGCTTTTCAGATATCATATATAACCCTAAATTTACAGCGTCTCGTAACAGGAAATGAACCCAGACTGTAATTTAAACAGATTAATTTAAGAATCCTAGATACAGATTCAGTTATGAGAGTTTCCACCAATTTCAAAACACTCTAGGCTTTAGATTTAGCTATTTTGTAACCTAAACTTGAACTCGCTCTGTCTACCAATAGTTCTCCATTTCATTCCGAAATCTAAAACTTTGTGTTTATCATACTACCGCAATATTTACGAAATTTAAGAAAATTTTAAAACCAATGCTATGATTTTAAGTGATATGTATGAACAAAATCCGAATGAAACAACAAACCCCCTTTTTTTACTATATCTACCTGTACATACACGATTAAGAATCTGACAAAAGTGCCACTGCATTAATTTGGACCATATGCTTCTTGATTTGGTTGAATATTTTGTAGAACGTTTGATGTCCTAACTTTGTACACCAGAGGCTAAAAATTAAATATCCATTTCCTGTTACGAGTCGTTGGAAATTGAGCGTTATAGTATATGATATTTGAAAAGAGGCAGGAAGAGATAGTGTTGGGTTGGTTATCGTCTGCTTTTCTTTCCTGTAAAGCTGCTGAGTATAATCCTGATTGTGATATTTTCATACTGAAAATTTCTGATATTTCGAATACTCCATTCTCTGGAGACTCGTGTAACCCTTAGACCAGCGGATATTCTCAACAATCTTAGCTGGATTCACTATTGTATGAACCGAACGGAAATTCTCAAGTAAGGCTCTCCAAAGTATGAATTTCTAGTTAAATTCTCCATAGCTTAATGAAGAACGTATTCTGCGTTTTAATCGCGCCTCAGCTGCACAGTCGCTTCTGTAGAATGAAGCTCCTTACCATTGAATCATTGTCTTCAGTGGTAATGTCGTCTCTAAAACCGTTACATGATAATTTGGCAAAAATTATGAATTTTATCTGATGTATATAACTTATGAACTTCTTATTCTGTTCTGGAGAGATATCAATTGTAGATAATACTTTTTAACAGCTTCAGTAGTTATTATGGAATTCTATACCATTTCATTAAACAAGCAATTACGTTAAACTAATACTTTCTTAAAATTTATAAAATCTAAACTTAGGCTACAATAAACTTAAATTACTGCTTTTAAATATCTTGATTTAAAATTGTTGTGTTTTTTTATTTCGCGTTTTTAGAACTTGGAAAACAGTAACTCTATCAAATGTTGTAAAAGATTTTATGACTCATTATATTTAATTAAAGGAGTCTAAGCTTTGTAACTCAACCAGAACGATAAAAAGTGTGGAATGAATAAGATAACTGCTTACCAGAATTTTTAATACATCCGTGTTAAACTTGATTTTAATTCCAGCTGTAAGTCGCAATAGTAAAAAATAATGCTAAATATGAGTTATTATTCGTTATAAAGAAAAGAGGAATGAATAATTGAGAAACATTACGAGCGAACGAGGGACAATTCAATGCAGTAGAAACTGGACATTAAAACAAAAATAATTTGCAAATGTAAATGAGAGTAAGTCAATATGAAATGGAGAGGTAATATAAGAAAGTTGCAAGAAAAAGATAATGAGAATTAGCTGAATAACAGTTGAAGGCAGACAAGAGCTGGCCATTAATAACATAGACAATGGAAATATTTTACAACCGGAAATTCTATGAATTTCAAAAAAGATATTAAATAAATAAAATTTCAAGAAAAGGAAACAACTGGCGATTAGTTGTAAAAGCATTCGGTCTGCTGGTAAGCATAAGGAAGTTAAGAAAGAAGGTTCTTATTTCGAAAGTTTAGCTACACAGTGCTCACAACTAACCAACAGTCGGTGATTTTCTATAATAAGCAAGTAATATGAGAAACAATACTATTTTGAGTATCAGTAGCCCCCAACCGCCGAACGGTAAAAAGAGGTTGAACATTGATAATTCGGTCCGGGGTTCGAGTCGTGTAAAGCGGATACGAGCCTGTTCTCTTAAAAAGTCCTTCCCGGAGCATCCCTCCTTTTCCGTATATTGTCTAATAGCGGAGCACATAATAAAGAGGATGAAATGCCACAACTCAAAGTAGGATAAAACTCATGCTAAAACGAAATGTAATGTTGCGTGCTGTAGCTTCGTACAGATCTCCTCAAATATCCATTCCAAACGAATGGAGACACCTGGAATTTTATTGAGAGGAGCAACGACAGTTACAGTCACGATAAACAGCTATAGATGGTCCAAGAAAAGCTACAGAGATGAGGCAGAGTTCTTAATAAGCGAGAAATATCGCAGATAACAAAAATCGTGCGCAAAGGCAAGTTTAATATTTCACCAATCACTAACCTAGAAGCTCATTTTCAAAACATTTGTATAACTCTGAATTCACAGGTATGAATTAAATTCACTGTGCAGTGCAGGCGTATACGCGTGCCTTGTATGCAGTTTATGCGGTTTGTTATTTGATCTATTGAAATAGAAAACGTAGTACTCGCCGGTTAAAGTGGTCCTTGAGTTACAACCAGTAAAATGGCGATAAATGGCCAAATGGGTGCTGAGAATATATTTATCTTTGAAGTTGCGTAATTATGGAGCAGCCTTTTTATCTTTATAGTTGAATTCAAAATATTATCCTGTAGAGTTTTTTCATAATAATAATTCACATATAAGCTTTATATTTGAATTCGAAATTTTTCTGTATTTCAGGCGTTTTGATGCTTGCAAAATATCCTTGTGAGCTAGAAATAACTTTTTTCCCTACCGATGGGATGAAACAAATTCAAATTCTTACTAACGACGGAGCGGTAAAGTCACTGAGCACTGGTAGTTCCACCCAGGTTCGAATCCCAACGAATTCCCTAACTGAAAGGGAATTTTTTGGTTTTCCCGCAGGGTAACGTGGATACGAGCCGATTTCCCTTAAGTTATCGTTCATGAAGGCATCCCTCCTCATAGCCCTCGAGTTACTTTACCTTAATTAACATTAAGAAACAAAAACGATTATTGATTAAGTAATTGATTTTTTTTTCCGGATTCTGCAGCCGTTAGTTAATCTTGTTTACAATCGCATAAAAACAAAAACCCTCTGCATTTCTTTTTAACAAAAAATTTCATAATGTATTCCTTTCCTAAAAATGAAATCTTCATCTTTATTCAAACATTCACTTGCGTTTGGAGATTCAGTTTGATTGGTTAACTAAATTTGAGATTTTTTTTTGTTTAGTCATTTGAAAAATTAAAAAAGAAGAATAATGAAAGGAAACAGATGGTTATCAATAAACTCAAGCATTCATGTAGCAGTTACAAGACACAGTTTATGTAATATATCTACGAAAGCAATTTGGTAAAAATCTGTACTTCTTATTTCATTTAATATAATTTTGTATGCAGTTTATTTATCATCAACAATATATAGAAACATACCCGAAATTACTACGATACATGTATAGGTAAATACAACAGAATATAAATTTAAAATAAATACAACATACAGAAACATGCAACAAATAGAAGAATATACGGTACTTACGTATTAAACGCAACCACTTTGGTGCAGTTTTACGGATGAAACGGTAAATGTTACTTATCAGATGCAAGTCGGTGGTTTTCGTGCCTTTTTACAGACAGATTCTCAAACTGTTGATACTTAAAATATGTCGGTAAACATTATCAATATATAAAAAGAATATTTTATCAATTTAAAATACCAATTTGAATTATTAAATAAGAATTATTTGATACATTAAAAAAATAAAACGCTTACATTCCTACTCAAATTTTTCCATTAATTTCGGGCGCTATTCCTTTCTCATGAACACAGCGATTTGGTTTCGCTTAGAAAAACATCAGAGAATTGCGGAGACTAGATTTGTTTCAATCCTTGTCAACAACGGCTATTTATGACACCTTTTTCCTCGTTGCTCCCTATAGAAAATTTTCAGCAAAATTCTGTATTCCTGCAGAAATTTTACCGTAGTTTCTTCCATTGCTGACAAATTCCACAAGCTCATATATTAAAACTGAGGCAAAAAATATCACGCTCTATTAATAAAAACCCTTGGAACTTGGAATACGACAAAAAAGAACGCTTACGAAAATAGCAGCCTTTCTTCACTGAATGACTGTTATGAGTATGGTTGTCGGAAGAATGGTTATGAGCATCGTTGAGAGCGTTTGACATATTCTGAAAATTTGGCGACCTCTACGAAAGTGGATGCTCTAATACGTATGCATCCAACATACGAAACAATATATGAAGTAACTTACAGAATACATTCAATATAAAAACATCTGAAACTTTCTGATGATTACATGAGGTCTCTTTTCCAACATACAGTTGCGTGCAATGGCCATTTCATAAATTCTTTTGAAGGATAAAGTACCTTCCATTTGGGAAAAAAAAACTACATCTTTTTCTGTCAACGAAAGAATAAAAATATTAAGCATATTAAATATCTGGGAGGAGGGTACTAAAAAATTTCTATTAATTGTAGAAAAATAAACTAAAAGCATATATCAAACGTTAACTACTGGCGTATACGCAGATCGGTAACCGTCTGTTTCTCGCCAAAGCTGAAATGCTCCAATGTCTACATCTCTCCACAGCCGCTATAATCAAAAAAGCTATATCGATTAATTTGCGGTTTGAATAGGATTTGCATCAGGTCAAGCTGATATTTTGTGTTTCTAAATATTTTTATTAACAATATTTTGTAATATTTATCATTATTAACAACTTTTTATAGTAATTGAAATTTGTTTCTCGTTCTTTGTTTCGTTCGAAAAAGGGTGAAATTTTGCTAAAATAAACATTGAAGAAACCGAGAAAAAAACAAATGCATGACGAAAATAAGAAAAATGAAAATATAATATTAAGAACTTAAAACTTGTATCTTCATATTCCAGTTTATAGAGTGAATGAGATTTCTTTGTTTTTAGTTTTGTTGTGGTACACTTAATCTTTTATATTCCGACATGAGAATTCCTCTGACAATTGTATGCATTTTTCACAAATTAATGATACCCGTTTCTGTGTCTTAACTTCCAAAGACGTACTTCGTGTATTTTTTCAGGTTATTTTGTAGCCTCAAACATGTTACCTACGTAGTAGTACTTCGGTAAAAGTGCAAAAGTTTACAACAATATTCAGTTTTTTTGTTAAGTAGTGCCAGAGTTTGACACCATAAATACTAGCGATATTTATTACGTCAATACGTTTACCTCAGTTATTTGATAATATTTTATTCTTATTATCAAAACTACAAACTTTTAGTCAAGTATTAATAATTTATTATAATATCTGTTATTGTAAATCTGTTATTGAATAATCAAGCATTCATAAGATGGACTGAACATATAATGTTGAAAAGCAGCTATACGTATTGACTCAGAAACGTTTTTGCAAATAACGAAGTATTAAGTTGCATAGTGCCAAATATCTACTATTCTGTAGGCTGTTTTTCATTTTTATTTGAAGTTTGTTTTTATTCAAATAAATATTATTATTGCCTTAGCAAAGAGAAATAATATAAGAAATTTGACTGTCATATGATGAGTATATGTATTATGAGACATTATGATTATAAGTACATTATAAGATTAGGTTAGTACATTATTGATTAGATTAGTGCATTATGAGTATGGATGTTTTTCATTTTTATTTAAAAATTTTTATTAAAATAAATATTATTATTACCTTAGCAAAAATTAATAATCTAGGAAATCTGACTGCATTATGAGTACATTATAAGTATTACTGCATCAGTATTAGTACATTATGAGATTAGATTAAGTACATTATATGTGTGACTGCATTATGGGTATGGCAGTTTTTCATTTTTATTTAAAGTTTGTTATTATTAAAAATAAATATTATTACTTTAGCAAAAAGTAACAATCTAACAAATGACTGCATTATGAGTACATTATGAGTATAATATTAGTATATTATGAGTAGTACATTATGAGATTAGATTAGTATAATATGTCTATGACTGCATGATGAGTATGAGTATTTTCCATTTTTATTTGAAGTTTGTTTTAATTAAAATAAATATTATTATTACTTAGCAAAAAGTAATAATCTAAAAAATATGACTTCATTATGAGTATAGTTTTTATTCAGTTTCAAGATCTTTCACTGAAGACAAAATACTCACCTTGATTATACAACTTTGATCAAATTTCTGTCGTCTTGTTCTTCCATCTACTAAACAGAAAATCTCTCCGAGAAGTTCCAGCTGCTGTCAGCAGTCAAAGACAGTAAATCTGAGTTTCACTAAACGAAAAGGAAAACCAAATCTAGCTACTGACTTCTCTGCAGGTAGAATTTCTGACTCTTTCGGTTGCAATATGTCGCAGTTTATTATTCCCTTGAGTGAAAGTTTGAGAAGACGCAAGTCGATTTGTTGTTGAAAGCTTGGCTAAGAAGGAGAACTAAATGAATGAAAGTTATTGCTCAAGAAAATAGAATGACAGAACGTATTTCCGTTAATCCAATGGACATGAGAAGGTTGAGAACGTATAAGAATAAATATTTCTCTCCATTATTTTATTTCACTACTCAAGCGCAGCACAGAAGATATTTCTTCTTGAATACAATTCTGAGATTTTATATGATATTCCTAAACTGACTTTCTTAGCCTGAATGAAAGTTCATTACGTAATTATTTCTTATTCTGACTCAGCAACGTATCCATACGTCTCATGTTGTAATGAATATGTTGCTCATCTTAAAGTAAACTAATTTGTTTTGAAATGGGTTTCAACTCATTCACTTCAAAATTGATCAGAATCAAATAAGATGCATGTAAAGCATCTCAGCTTGAATTTAAAAGTGGACAAAATTCAGCTATAAATTGACAGGAATTAAAGAGGAAAGCTTTTTGCATTTTGGAAAAATCCGATACTCGTCTCTCTCTTTCAACTAACAAAATTAATCTGAAGCATTGTGGCAATTTTTACAATGTAGTTGTACAATTTTTTTGTAAGCTGTTCCACAACGAACGCATAATATAATAAGATATGAAGTAAAAACTGCTTACACTGTGCTAGCATAACTCATCGTTTACATGCTACAAAAATCATCAACGCACAAATGCGAAATATTATCTAACCAAGGCTTTTAAATACAATATAAGATGTGACTGCAATTATACTCATTCCAAAAATATCACAAAGTATTTGTTGAAGGCATTTCACTTCTTGGTAAACGGAAATCTGTTTAGCGTCTATTTTTTCTTTAACAATTATTGACACAGCTTTCCAGTTTTATCACGGACATTGAATAAAAATCAAAGCCTACGCTGACCACTTGGAGATTTGAACATAATTACCGCTGATAAAGTGTTTATTGTGAGGATATTAGTGTAACCCTTTTTGCAAAATATCATTTTTCCCATCAAGATTGTGCAACGCCTTAACGCCTTGTTTTTTGTGCAATGCCTTGTTTTTGAACAATATACTTGAATTTTTCGCCTCTGTTCATCAAAAGAGAAACAGATTATAAAAGATTTAATGGCAAATATTTCGGGACTTATTTTGGATAAATTGTGTGCATTCTTATCGATCAAAAACGATTATTTACAAACATTAGCTAAATATGAATGATAAGTTACAGAGTGATTAAAATAAAATACTAAATATTTTTATTTAGTATTATGTTATATTTTATTGGCCAAAAGGTGCCGTAACCCAGAAGGACTATTAGTCTCACAACGGCATTTTGTGCTGAATCACTTTTCAAATTGTTACCACCAAATATTATCGCCTTGTATTATCTTTAAAGAAATTAAATAATGAAGAATCTGCTTGAAAAACAACAGTACCTAGAGCCATCAAATTTTGAAGAAGATAGTTATCCACACGAATACGAGCACCTGGAAGCCCACATTTTTAATTTCAAATTTGTTTTATTATCTGTTTCACATTTTGTAATACTTTAAAGAAGTTTTTGATTAATAAACTCAACGATTTCAAAGCGAGCAGCGGCGACGCTGTAGGGAATAAAACATTTTTATCTGCAACTCGCGAGACTGTATATTGGAAATTCTAAAGCTATGCTATTTTTAATTATTTTCAGTCCGAAGAAGCGTTAACCCAATTTCTCCCGATGCAGCTCTCGAAATGTGTATGTGTGTGTAAATGAGAAAAATGCCCCATTGGGCATAACATAAAATCAGAAAGCTTTCATTTCTTTTTGTTACTATATGATATTACTATCATCAATGGATAAGATCAGAGCGATCGGAAGCGTTTCCTAACTTTAATATCATTATGGCTGAATGAAAACGATAGGGTAAGGAAGAGCAGAATTTTCAATTTTTATTTTTCTTGTTTAATAACGTTTCAGTATACCTACATCAAGATATTTGACAAAAAAATTTTAAAAATTTGACCTATTGCATTAAACTTTAACATACTCAGAAAAGGATGCATTTTTAATTTAATAAATCATAAGTAAGGCAATAAATTTATAACGCTTATTTAAATGTTTTTGAATACATTTTCAATCCAAGATTTAACAAATGTAAGTTAAAAATATTTAAAAATGTGTTAGGTTTTTATGTCTTGAAATGTACTTTAAAATATTTAGAATTTCGAGTAATTTTTGAAATATTTAACTTTTTTCTTATATGAGTAATTTATTTTC